CTTCATAACACGAGATCTCACCAAGCTGTGCTTTAAATGTTATTATCAAAGGAGAGATGACCTGACATCTTGTTTGACAAAGAAAACAAGACTTAGCTCCTTTGAGTGTATTCTACTCATATGCTTAAGCAATTCTGTAATTTGCTGTGTTCTGAACTCTTTGTTCTTCCAGATCTGTAGAAAGGTGCTTTTTTCTATATAAGGAAGTATTTACTGAAAAGTTATGATGACTACTTCTTCATTCTCTGCCTAATATCAACAAATGTGAATAGAAGCTCAGGAAATGGTATAATAGTTGTGATCCAGCAGTTTCATCCTAGTGGAATACAGAACAGATAGGAATCGATTGTATCACCAGTGTCAGGACTGTGTTTCAGCAGTGATTGACCTTGGAAAACAAGGTTAAAAACCCAGAGTTATATTCTAATAAAACAATGTGTTGGTCTCTCTATTTTTAGAAAGAAAATAGAGATATATATAGTGGCTATAGAAACCGGGCTAGAGTGCCACACTTCAAAGCCTAAAGTGAGTAAGGAGTCAACTATTCCTACCCCTACCTACTGAGGATAGGTGTTAACCCATTATGTCCTATCTGCTAGATGTGTTCTGCAGGCACTAGTCATGTGTGGCTACTGAGCACTTGAAATGTGGTTAGTGCAACTGAGAAAATGAATTTTTATTTTAATCAATTTAAACTAAAAAAACTAAAGCAGTGTAAAATATTCCATTAAGTACAATTTGTTTCGGAAGGACATTTTACTCTAATCATTGCATTGTATAAGATATTACTGCTGTATTATATAGTGTACGTCAGGCACATCATTTCTCGTACTACACGTCATCAACCTTGTTGATGCCAACAGACTGATTCAGTTCAAATGACTCTCTATGTACAGATTTAACAATGTAATGTATTTATTTAATATTTTATGCAGACAGCATGAGTTACAGCATGAGTTACAGCAGGGTTTCTTAACCTCAACACTACCGACATTTTGGGCTAGATTTGTTGTGGGGGACTGTCCTGGTCACTGCAGAATTTTGAGCAGCATCCCTGGTCTTTACCTGCTAGGTTCCAGTAGCGCTCCCCCACCCGCTTCCTTCAAGCTGTGATGACTCAACATGTCAAATGTCCCCTGGGGCAGGGCGTGGCAGGGAGGGGGTGTTGAGGGGGAAGAGGGCAAAATTGCATCAGTTGAGAACCATCGAGTTACAGTGATACCCAAATAAATCAGAACTGGTAATTAGAGTAAAATACCTATTATAATTATGTTTCTAGTTTTTAAAGTAAATATGAACAGATTTTAACATTTAAAATGAAGGCATACTACTGTTGCAGAATTGAGTAGAGATGCAAATGATAGTATTATGTTGAAATTGGAAGAAGGTATACTGCTAGTTTCATGATGAATGGTAACTGTAGTTTGCTTCAGTAGGGCAGAATGAACAAGCTATTTGTCATATAAGAAACTTTTCAAGATAAAACACTAAGAAATGTCAGCAAATATAAACTGAATAAGAAGTTTCTTCTTAACATTAAAACATTAAAAATGCATCAACAAAATAATTAAGTGTCCACCAACAACAACAAAAAATTTATTTTTAACAGAATAATGAGCTTGTTTTGGCAACCACAAAAGAAATTATTACTTCAATTATGGACATTTTGTCAGAAAATTTTGAGGAAAAGACAAAAAAATCACCTTATAAAAAGTGAAAGATCTTCAATTAAACCACCAAACAATCGCCTGTAGAATATGACACTTCTTTTCTGTTGTTGTTTTTTTTAAATATTATTATTAAATTTATTGAGGTGACACTGGTTGTAACATGTAAGTTGCAGGCATACGATTCTATAACAGATTATCTGTATGCTGCATTATGTGCTCACCACCCAAATTCTAGTCTTCTTCCATCACCATACATTTGACCCCATCTACCTTCTTCATCCTCCCTACTCCCCTCCTCTCTGGTGGCCACATACTGTTGTGATACATTTCTAATGATTTCAAGATCATTGATTCAAAATGTTTTAAATTACAAGTACTTTTCTTTAGATTTAGATGACACTACTCAATTAATACTTTGGGTACATTTTGTCTCTAAGAGCTTCCAAATATACAAAGAAATTTTGTCAATCTGCAGCTCAGCTTAAAAATCTGAACTTGTGGAATAAATATTTTTAAATTATCTACATCTATCAATGAAAAATTTAACTAATTTTTTTTTAATTCTTTCACATGGATGATGCTCCAGCTATGTTAGGTCAAATCCAGATATACTGGCATTTTAAAACAAGACAGAAGTTTCTCTTCCACTTCATTCTGCTACATGGTATGTATTAAAAATGTACAGTTTCCTGAAGCAGACTCTGTAAGTATCAAAGATACAGTTGCTAAAATCATTTAGTATATGCGTGCAAAAACTATGAACATTGCCATTTTATGTAACAGTTGAGAAAATTAGAAGATAATGAATTTAATGATGCTGAGTTCTTTGCAAATGCTCACTGGTTGAGTTGTGAAAAGATTTACAAAAGATTTTCTATACCAATAATTTCAACTCAAGATCTTGAAACAAAAGGAATGCCTGCCAAATATTCATTAATGAGAAAATTTTTTATTGAGTTAAATTTGAAGCGTCACAGAAAGGAAAAGCTCATTTTGTGATCTATCAGGTTAGGTATTTATGTTGAAATTGAAGCTTCTCATAATATCAATAATAATTAACAATTTTCTAATGTGAATCAATATGTAGAAGATCTGAATTGTAAGTGACAGCACTAACTAGCTGCAAAAACTACAAGAAATTTTTGAAAATGCTTTGTTGATATCAATAAATCTAAAATTGCCTTAATTTGTCTACAGCCATGCCACCCTAAATGTGCCCGATCTCGTCAGATCTCGGAAGCTAAGCAGGGTCGGGCCTGGTTAGTACCTGGATGGGAGACCACCTAGGAAAACCAGGTGCTATAGGTGTAAAATAAATAAATAAATAATAAAATAAAATTGCCTTAATTTATGCCATATCTCTTTGAATTTGGTGTTAATACAAGAGTTAGTGAATTTCCTTAACCTGGACAGATGTAGCTTTGAAGTCAAATAAATTCTTTAAAAAAATGAACGAGTTTTACCAATGTGAATGCAAATGTTAAAGGGAAATGATTTTTAGGTAGTCAATTTATTAGGTAACTTTTAAGTATGTTTGGAACAACTTGGGTATATTACTCAATATCTTCAACTGTAAATTATATGAAATCTAAATATAAATCATATATTTCCAGTGAAAATATATCATCTGAACTGAGATGTGCTGTAAGTATAAACTATCCCTTTCACTTCAAAGACAGTATATACAATATGCTAATAATATAAAATATCTCGTTATAAATTACCTTAATTTTTATATTGATTACATGTTGAAATGATAAAATTTGGGTACACTGGATAAGTAATGTATTATTAAAATTAATTTCACCTGTTTGAAAATAGTTCTATGTGACTCAAAATATATTTATATTGGACTATGCTGTCTAGATCTTGTTGCAAATGTTTTCCCTCTTACTGGTTTCCCCTCTTATACTTCAAGACAAGAAATTATTATAATGATGGGGCCCTGGTAAGTTAAAGACACTAAAGTTGAAGTTTTCTTCAAAATGTCTAATCTTTGGTGAATAAATGCTCTCTATATATGACTGCTGCTACTGACACTAGCAAGAAGAATTAAAATTGATTTAAACTTAATCTCTGGAATTTACTACCAAGAAACACAACCTTGGTAAATTCACTTATTCTAGTAACTTTTTGTAGAGTTCATCAGGTTTTTAACTTAGACAATCATGTCTGCAAGACAATTTGTCTTCCTTTCCAGTCTAACTGCCTTATATTTTTTCTTCTTGCCTGACTGCACGGCCTAAAACCTCCAGCACAATTCTAAATAGAGGTGGTGAGAGCAGATATCCCCACTTTGTTCCTAATTTTAGAGGAAAAGCATTCAGTCTTTTGCCAGTAAGTATGACAGCTCTAGGTTTTGCACAGATGCCCTTGAGGAAACCCTCTTCTATTTCTAGTAGTCTGAAAATTTTTACCTGGAATAGATGTCAAATTTTGTATTTCCTAAATGACTGATTAATGCACAAAAATCCAAAAGTAAAAAATACTTCTACATGTATACATTATCTCTGGAAGAATATCCAAAAGGTGGGAGAATTCTTGCTCTAGGAGAAAGCCCTTGCTTGAAAGGTCAGACAGAAGAAAATCAGTCTTAACTAAAATCAAAGCCCCCAGACTCTAGTGGGCAAACATCCTCAACAGACCTAGTGCTTAAAGTAGCCTCCTCCTTCTTGGAGCGTTCCATGATAGCACAGGAGGGAGAGAACACTTCAGAAACTCTACAGAAGCAAATGATGCATGGTAAGCAATAATATATCACTTCCTGGAACTTTTCAAAGGAGCTACAGTGGGAGTACAGCTATCTTGGTCACATTCTATCTTGGGTACAACATGTTGTACCCTGGCCTGCAGATGTCCCTCCAAAGTCTTAATTGCAATGACACTCCATAGTATTCTATAAAGTCTTGGCGTGGGGTACTATCAATGGAAGTCAGGAGCTCAGGGCACAGGGTTGACACACAGGAAATATACAATAAGTAATTACTGACTAATTAAGAGTTATCCAAGATGGACGTGCATTTCTCAGCTGATGAAGTTCTATGTATCTACTATGTATAGTAAGTAAATTTCACTTTAAATCTCTTTTGGGCAAAAGGGGCATAAAAATACAGGATTGAGATATGATACACTACTGACATAAGCCCTTATCTCATCAGGTTTCATTATCGCCTATTTAACCAGTCAAAATTTTTAAATGCCATCTTCTAATTTTTTTCCCTACTAAAATGTGTCATTTTCCACAAGGTTAATTACAGCTTTTAATTACTGCTTGCTAGACCCTGCAAGTATTGGTGAACATGCTAAGTTAGAATAGGAAAACAATAAGCCCCTTGATAGAGATGGCTATTTGAGAAAGTTCTAATTCTGATTAAATGAGTTTAGTTTAACCCTGAGCAAAATGATTAGAGTTCTGCTCCAACAGCATATCTGTATTATTTATCACACTAGAAGAATGAAAGAGACAGATTTTTGTAAACAGGGATACAAACCAATACGAGATTTAACAGATGGCATCTTGATGGGGGGCCACAGCAGCCCCTTCAGGTCCAGTGCTGAAAATCAGTCAGCTGAAAACACTGAAAGACCCAGAGACATTTGCTAGGCAAGTCACCCAGGGAATCAGCATCTTGCTAAATGTAATCTGCCAGGTCTGGGCCAGAACGATGGGCATACATCTGCTCAGGAGAGTCAGCAGTTAGTACATTAAGCTGCGGCCATACAGCTATACTGAATATCATTGCTGCAAGTAATACAGTACCACCACCACATAATTTTCTCCACCAAGATATTTTTAGAGATACTGAATAGATATTGAATAGTTTGGCATTCAGGGAAGTGCTTCAAGGTAGACACAAGAAGCAAGTCCATACACATAGTTTATATCACTGGAGACATGGGGGAGAAAGGCAAAAAGGCACAGCAGCTATTGGCATTGGTTTAGCCTTTGTAGTACACCTAACACTTGGTGCCTGATATTGTGCTAACCTCCTTACACATCCATAATGTGATGAAGCTTTTTGTTCCAGTTCAAATGCTGAGAGGTGTAGAAGTTGTCTCTGAGGTTAGCTCTGGGACAGAAATATCCCTGGGCACTATTTCAGATCTTATAACAATTCAACAGTGGGAGGGCCCGAACAGAGACATAAAGCTCTAAAACAAAAACTAAATCCACAGAACACCAAATAATTGGATTCAATCTATAAATTGGGGAAGTGATCTTCTTGATCTTCTATGTCTAATGGCTATCAAGAAGGTCCAAGAGCTCCTTAACTGTGATTTCCTTTTCAAAATAACCATCTCACCAGTATACAGGTTTATATACTGCTGACATCTAAGGAAAGCCACCACAACCTACACTCTCATCTCTGCTTTCACTCAAAAACAAATTTTGGAATTTGGAAGCAATGTGAAGAAAATCCAAATCCTCAAGTTACTAGCTCCTGTTACTCAAATTATTTTCAAAAAGTTGCTACATATAAAGTATGGTGGTGATGGTCAAAAGTTGAATTTCCTACCCTTCCCTATAAGGTACTATTTTTTTTTCTAATTTTAAAATTAAGGCATAATTTGTATAGAATAAAATTTACCCTTTTTAGTGTAGTCTACAAGTTTTGAAAAAATACATACAGTCATATAAGCAACCCCACAAGATACAAAACAGTTCCATCGCTCATAAAGTTCCCCTGTGCCCCTCCTCCCAACTCCAGCCCTTGGCTGATCTGAATTCTGTCCCAACAATTTTGTCTTTTCCAGAATATCATAAACATGGAATCATACACTATGTAGCCTTCTGAGTCTGCTTATTTTCATACTACATAATGCAATTGAATTCATCCATACTGTTACATGTATCAGTAGTCTGCTCCTTTTTATTGCTGAGTACTATTTCATTATATGGTGTACCACAGTTTGCTTATTCACTCCTCAGTTGAGGGTCACTTGGGTTGCTTCCCATTTTGAGAGAATGTATGGATAAAGCCACTGTAAACGTTTGTTCAACCCAAATTCACTTGGGTAAATGCCAAAGAGTAAATTGCTGGAAGATCTACTTTTGAAACTATCTAACTGGTTCTATGTAAGCCATTTCTATACAACAGATGCATGTTTTCTCAATGGAAAAGCTGTGATGCTTTTTCTGTGATGCTTGTTTTCCTTGTTCATCTATACAATTTCTCTGCCCTCCTGGGTACAGGAAATATCTCCAAATCATTATCACAAACTTCATCAACACTTTATTTACTTTCAGCCCTAGATCATTAAAAATACTAAATATGCCTGATTTACTCATTGGCACCCTGCAGCATCCTAGGACACAACACCCATTTCCAACCCACACACAGACTACCATTTAGCTTTACAATTGATTTAGCTTCTCCTCTAAATTCTTAATCAATTTTCAGTTGAGCCAAGAATCTTCAATATATTACCTTTAATAACTACAGGAAAACAAAACAGAGTTTCTCCCAACTCATTAGCCGTTAGTATACTTTCTGCAAATCACAGATACAAACAAGAACCAATAGAGAACACACTAAGAAATTTAAGGTGTAACTCCCTAATACCAGCCTAAAAGCAACATTGGGTTTGTTCCTTCTAAAACAGACAGTGTCCCATTCTAAAAAGTCTTTTAAATAAATGCTGTATTAATTAAACTAGAGAAGAAAAAAAATGTTAGCATAATTAACATACGAAGCAACAGTATGGCCTAATTAATCACCATGAAGAGCAATCGAATAAAGTACTATGCATTTTTATGGAGCAATTTAATCTGGCAAGTAATTAATCACAGAAACACTAAGCAAAACAAATGGATTTCTCTATAAGGAAGTCACATTTATCATCTGTAATGTATCCCAAACTCTAATTTGTTATCCCGACTCAAAACTGTCCAGGAAACAATGAATTGTCAGCCTTAGTAGAACACTGATTTCTGGTGAAAAAGAAGAACATTGAGCTTTTCAAATCAAGGTACAGTCCCCGAGCAACCAAAGAGATAAGGGTTATGGGGCAGAGAGATACCTGGCAATAAGCATGAAGATCTTGACCTCAAGAGTTCTAAATCTAGGTCAGTTTAGTCAAATCCATAGATAATTGCTAAATGACTTATGAAAAAAACACTTAGTATTAGGAGTGACAATTATAGGTCACAGATATTACCAAAACCCCAAAAGGAGGACCCTCAATAGCTGACAACAGAGGGAAACAGCTTTCAATCTTCAGGACAAGCAAAGCGGGGGACGGGGCACAAATCAATGAAGTGTAATTTAACTCAAAAAAATCCCCTCCCTTCCTTCCTACTCCCTCCC